CACACACACACACACACACACACACACACACACACACAGAAAAGGACATCATGCTTTCTTAACTAGAGGGTTAGTGAAAAAGAGGTAGACCTCCAAGAGACGGACTGACAGTGACTGAAACAGTGGGCTCAAACATAACAACTGTGAAAATGAACCAACTCAACAGCATCTACCGATATTCAACCATCGTATCAATCTCAGTGAGGTCTTCCTCTGTTTTGATGAGCCTCTATTTTACCAAGCATGATGTCTTTTTTTAGGGAATGGTCCATCCTGATTCTATGTCCAAAGTACTTGAGATGACAGCTCACCATCTTTGCTTTTAAGTAGCATTGTAGCTGAACTTCTTTTGTGATAAATTTGATTGTTTTTCTGGCAGGCAGTTCATGGACTATTTGCTATTTTTTACCAACACCATAATTCAGAGGCATCCACTCTTCTTTGATCTTTTTACATTCATTGTCCAGTTTTCATACGCATATGAGGTGATTGACGATATCATGGGTTGAGTCAGATGCACCTTCCTCCTCAAAATGCTTTTTAAAACGTTAAAGAAATCTTTTGCATCAGATTTGCCCCAGTGCAATATGCCATTTGATTTCTTCACTGTTGCTTCCGTGAGCCTTGAGTGTGGATTTAAGCTCAATAGAATTCTTGACAACTTTAATGTTTTCTCCATTGTTTATGATGGTGCTTATTAGTCCAGTTGTAAGGACCTTTGTTTTCTTTACCTAGCAGGGTAATCCACTCGGAAGGTTGTGGTCTTTGGTGTCCATTAGCAATTTCTCCAAGTTCTCTTCACTTTCTGCCACGAAGGTTGTGTCATCTCCATACCTTAGGTGGTTGGAGTCTTCCTGAAACCATGATGCCGTTTCTTCTTCATGGAGTCCAGGTTCTCGCATTATTTAGTCCGCATCCAGGATGGGTAAGTATGCTGAAAAGAGACAACCCTGGTGCATGACTCTCGTGATTTTACAGCATGCAGTATCCCCTGGTTCTATCTAAACATCTGTCTCTTGGTCTAGTTCCAGTTTCCCGTGAGCACAGTTAAGTGTTCTAGAATTCTCATTCTAGATATTGGTTGTAGTATTATCTGATTTTCCGTTTTTTTTCTCTCCATTCAATATTATGCTATCCCCTTTCTCATTCTTAATATTTGTTCTTTCTCTCATTTAATTTTATAAACCGCTATTGCTAATGTATTATCAACTTATTATTTTCAAATATTTGACTTTGGGCCTTATAATTTTCCCTATTGTACAATTATGGTCTATTTTACTGTTTATGTAT